AACCAATGATTCTACATGTAGCAAGTTCAAAAGGCTCCTGGCCGACAGGAATCTGTCCTCACTATTATTTTTTTTTTTGTCTTTTAATACATTACTTTGAAATCAATAACATTTCAACATATTTAACGATTTGAGATAAGAACAAAATAAATCCTAACATGTAAAAAGAAAATTATTTGGAATTACGACTTACAAAGATTTCATTTTCAGATATCTATATTGTTCTTTGGTCTAAACATGTCAATTCTTTTCTTTTAGAAAATAATTTTTCCCTTTAATCTAAGAATCATTTAAAGCTATCTTTGAAAACTTGTTTAGCTCACAGCCATTTCTTAAAAGTTATTCCATTTAATGGATCACCCCAACCACGGCAGCGATGGCCTAACTGGAAAGGATATGGAAGAGCAACATCAGCTTCCATACCAAGTTCAATCTCGACGAATCGATGGTCGTATCCATCCTCTTCTACGGGTGTGAGACTTGGGCACTCTTAGCTGGGGCGAGGAAAAGGGTGTAGGCGCTCGAGAACAAATGCTTGATAAAGCTCTTCTGGTTCTCCTACTGGTATCACGAAACCAATGATTACGTACGGAGCAAGTTCAAAAGCCATCATGCAAAGCACTTTAGAAGGCGGGTGGCAACACAAAAGCTGGTCAGACAACACCAAAGATTGGACGGATAAGACAATGCCGGAATTCCTGAAAGGAAGTTACTTGGGTGCAACCCTGTCAAAAATGTTACCTCACGATTTACCCAGCCCCATCATTGATGACCAGACTGGAAAGGATATGGAAGAGCAACATCAGCTTCCATACCAAGTTCAATCTGGATGAATCGATGGTCGTATCGATCCTCCTCTACGGGTATGAGACTTTAACTTCCTTCTATATTTATTTCCAACTGCCGTTTCCAAGATGTACGGTCTCGGCTGATGTCTTTTCCCCCCTACTCACCGAAACTCTATTTTAACATGCTTAACTCGCAGATCTATGTGGTACCAAAACCTTTTAAGTGTTTAGGGCCCCTATAGTTCTTAATCTGATCCTGCTTGTATGTCTTGTTAAAATGGACATATTCCCCATGCCTAATCTCTTGAAGATTCATCGTGAAGAATCCAAAGTAATGGTGAATAGCATAAGCAACACCACTGCCAGCGTCACTATTGGAGCAATTGTCCAGCTTCAAATACTTAGGAGTAACTCTGTCAAAAGATACCTTTAAATCATCTCAGAATGGAAACCATACAACAGGGGTCAGCAACTCATTCGACCCCGCGGGCCGGATCGTGTTATAATGACGGGTCGCAGGCCGGACGAAGGTCATTAATGAAAAATTAAGGAAAATTACATATGCAGAGCCCCTGTCAACCTAAATATTTAAAACCATAATGAAAATAAACATTGAGAAATCAGAAAAACAAAAGAAAATCTAAAATTAAAAAACACCTAACAAAAATTACTTTTCCTCAACGTCAAAATACTTCAAAGTGAAAAAAATCAACCAAAGTGAAATGGATGAGATTATGACGTGTAGGTTTGAAACTGTTATTGAAAATTGTTCCACAAACGAACTACGCACACACACATCAAACAAAAACGAAGCACATAAACCCATACATATGAGTAAAAATAGTTGCAAACATATACACTTACGTACGTACACATGCGGTATCATCTACACATTCATGAGGCATGTATGTATAATGCGCGTATGTTTAACTGTCTTTAGATTTCTGCTACCTCACATGTCAATACCTCCCTGGCCTCTTTCACTTTATCGTTCCTTTCGTTTCTTTTAATGTAGCCAAGGGTCATAACAAATATGTATCCATTATTTGACATTAAACGTAGGCAACGCAACTTGGTAAAATAAGTCTCATGAAAGATAACTGGCAGATAGTCTAATTCGAAAGCCTCGTCTCTCATGTTAAAAATAGAGTCATTGGTAATCAGGCTCGCGGGCCGGTCAAAATGCCTTCGCGGGCCGTAGATTACCGACCCTTGCCATACAAGATCCTGTGTGAAGCAGAATTTCAGACAGAATAAAAATAAACGCTTGAAGCAATTGTTCAATGGCAGAAAGACCCTACAAGGCATAAGTTAAACGTAGAGAAATGTATAATATACAATAGAGATATTATAATAACACCAGGAAGTTTAAGAAAAGAATTTTAAGAAGGGCTATAAAACCTTTGATTTGGACATCACATACGTAAAGGGGAACACTATTCCACACGTAGATGCGCTATCCAGGCTAAAATTCGACAGTAAAAAATTAGAAACGTCTGAAAATTCAGAAGATAAAATACTGGACTGGATTGAACCGGCGTGTTACCCCTAAATCACATGAGAATGAAAACCATACAAGATCCACTGTGAAGTAGAATTTCAGACAGAATAAAAATAAACACCTAGAGCAATTGTTCAATGGCAGAAAGACCCTACAAATATAGAACTGCTGGAGAGGTCGAACAAATCTGGGGTGAAGACGCATCCTTGTCTCACGCTCATTTCTATGTCTGTATAGCAATTCAATTCATTTTCTGTCCGCCTGCATCATACTTATTATAAAACCCAGGTTGTGTGTGTGTGTGTGTATGCATGTCTGTACGTTTATATATTGGAACGGATTTCCTACATTTTTCAACCGATTTCAACAAAACTTCACAGGACTACGTAAAATTACATTGCGGTGGTTCTGACAGTGCCAAAAATTGGAAAAACACAATTGTTTTTGCACGAATCAATTTGAAAACACGATTAAGAGGCATTGCTGTCGCGAGAATGAAAGGGGGACAACTCATATCGAGTTATACTTATTATAAAACCCAGGTTGTTTGTGTGCGCACGCGCGCGTGTGTGTGTGTGTGTTCGTTTATATATGGGATCGGATTTCCTACATTTTTCAACCGATTTCAACAAAACTACACTTTTTTTTTTGGCAGGTAGCTTTTCTTATTGTCTTGCACACTTTTTTCTTTATTTTTACATTCACAATGCTTTAAAAATTCTATTTACAAGGCAATTGTTTATAATAAAATTCTATTCAATTGGTAGACTTATAACGATTGAAAACAATGTTTTTGCTTGAGTTTGGGTTTGATCAATTCGTAAAAAAAAACAAAAAGAAAACAAAAAAAAACTAATTAAGACATGCGTGTCCGTCAATCTTAAACAATAATCTTTGTCAATTTTATTTTTCAGTCTTTATGATGGTCGATACTTGATCTATCTCTTACTGTTACATCCCAGGGCAACGCCGGGCTCTACTGCTAGTACGAATATAAAATGAAATTTCAACGACTTCTGTTTCCATCGGTGGCAGACCTGTCTATAAACTGCCTGCCGCAAACGATATTGACCTTATGGCGGGCAGTGAGCTTCTAGACCTGGTCCCCAAAATCGTTGGAAGAGTCGGCGTATATGGGATGGAATTCAATTCAAGTTAATGATGAATACCACAAGCAACACCAGTGCTAGCGTTACCATGGACGGCAAAATACTGGAGGAAATTTTCAGTTTCAAATACTTGAGAGCAACCCTGTCAAAAGATGGCACCTACAACGCAACACAGACCACAGCATAGCCAGACTGGAAAGGATATGGAAGAGAAACATCAGCATATATATATATATATATATATATATATATATATATATATATATATATATATATATATATTTACAGAGAGAGAGAGAGGGTGAGGAACCACCATTAAGCCTGGTTAATGGATGACGAACCTCTGGAGTAATTGTCCAGCTTAAAATACTTGAGAGCAACCCTGTCAAAAGATGTCAATTGCAACACAGAAATCCGCCTGCATGTGTATTAAGGATTAATTTCCCACGACCACAGCACGCTATTTCTCTCGGTGGTAGCCCTGTCTGTAACATGCGTTTAGAAAATAATATTGACCTTATGTCAGGCAGTACCATTTAACTGCAAGACCTGGTCAACAAAGCCGGTGAAAGAACCGGTGCATATGGAATGGAACTTTACACAGAGAAATTAATAATAAATAGCACAAGAAACACCAGTGCCAGCATTACCATGGACGACAGACGACTGGAGGAAATGTCCTGCTTTAAATACATGGGAGGAATCCTGGCAAAAGATGGCCCCTGCGATGCAGAAATCCGCGCGCGGGTCGCCACACCTACAGCCACATCCTCAGTCCCAGCAGCGATGGCCAGACTGGAAAGGATGTGGAAGAGTAACATCAGCTTCCAGACAAAATCCAAGCTCTTCGAATCGCTGGTCGAATCCATCCTCCTTGACAGACTGTTATAGAGTAGTTTTCACAGTGGAGGCTTGTATTTCACTAAGTCGGTCCTAAAATAGGTTCGATGTACAAAACGTTAGGAACTTGATATAATAGTTAATGACTCAGCAATGTAGTTGTGGTGGCTGATACTTTAATATCCGACTAACGGTCGTCCGACATCGACCGACTGACCAACTCACTCAGCCCCTCGCGACTGCTACTACTACTCCTACTTATTATATTTGGGATAACTATTAACTATAGAATAGGTGTGTCCCAGTATAACACAGACATTACTGGTTAAGGTATAAAATTGATTAAAAAAAAAGGAAAAAGATAATACTGTTACGCCTATTTTTTATATTTTAACAACAAGAACAACAATAATAATAACTTAGGATTTTTTTAAAAGTTATTTTATATATGATAAGGCAAAGGCAGACATAATTTACGCTTTTGAAGGAGAGGCGTTTCGAAATTTAACGTCTATTTTCGAAAGTTGAATTTCTACTGTTTGCTATTTATTTTTACCACTTATTTTGTAAACATTATTTCTCGAATTTATATACCACCACACAGTGGTATATACAGTGTCAACCTCACCATGGACGACGAAACAGCTTCAAATACCTGGTAGCAACCCTGTCAAAACATGGCACCTGAAGCGCAACACGTACCAACTCATTGTTTTGAATAAGACTATCTTTTATATTGAATAAAAGTATCTGTTGTGGAGAATGACTCAGTGTACTTCCTGTTCTTCACTACTAAGTACAAGCAAAACCAGTGTCAGCGTCACCATGGATGACGAACCGCTTGAGTAATTGTCCAGCTTCAAATACTTAGTAGCAACCCTGTCAAAAGATGGCACATGTAACGCAGAAATTCGTATACTGATCGCCACAGCCACAGCAGCGATGGTCAAACTGGAAACGATGTGGAAGAGCAACATCAGCTTCCAAACCAAGTTCTACCTATCGATGGTCGTATCCATCCTCCTTCTCAACAGGTATAAGCCATCCATGTTGAGACTCTTGGTTGGTGCAGGAAAAAATATTCAGTCATTCGAGAACAAATGCTTGAGAATAGATTCTATTATTTGGTACAGTTGTGATTCTGTAGTGCCAGTCCAGGATTTACTCGCTCAAATAATATTTGGACAGGAACTACTACAAGAATATCCTCACACAGGCCCGGATTTTATATGAACCTATAAATAATACCAGATTTTTTTTCCTTGGAAATAATAAAATCGGATTTTTTATAAACTTATAATTAATACCGGATTTTTTTTCCTTGGAAACCATAAAATGGGATTTTTTTATAAACCTATAATCAAAACCAGATTTTTTTCCTTGGAAACCATAAAATCGAATTTTTTATAAACCTATAATTAATACCAGATTTTTTTCCTTGGAAACCATAAAATCGGATTTTTTATAAACCTATAATTAATACCAGATTTTTTTTCCTTGGAAACCATAAAATCGAATTTTTTATAAACCTATAATTAATACCAGATTTTTTTTCCTTGGAAACCATAAAATCGGATTTTTTTATAAACCTATAATTACCGATTTTTTATTTTAATTTTTATATTTAATAATGTATTTTACAGTGCGCAATCTTTTTTTCCTTTTACTAATTGTTCACCTTATACAAGTCGCAAGAGTCACTCAAGGTAGAGGGTTACTGAATGAAGATAAGAGAAAAGGGTAAGAAGTGCAGTTTATGAGGATATGTAGGAAAGATAGCGGTTGACTCTAAACTTGAAGAGGTTAAGACTGAAACGATTGGGGAAGCATCCACAGGAGGTATCAGCAATTGACTGCAGATTTTCTCATTTTCTATTGTTGTTATGTGCCATGCGTGATGTATACAATAATAGCAGGGAATAAGTGTACTTTTGAGACACGTTTTTTTTTTTTTTTGTTTTTTTTTGCGGGCATGAAGTTTAAACATTGCAGAGTTTTTGCTGTGACAGTATGTCAACAATAAAAAAAAAAATTTTTTTAATTTCCCTGATGAATATTTACAACTTATTAAAATATTGAAAGAAAAAAGAGGCATTGAATGAAAATAATTAGGGATTTCACATGTAAAATGACCCAAACATTCTCATAAGCACGTATTCATTCAGGTACAATAACAAATCATCAAAAAAAAATAAAAATAAAAAATAAAAAAAGAAAAAAGAAAAAAAACAGAAAATAAAAACAAGACAACAGAAAGAAACACAGAATAAAAAGCAGAAAACCTTTAAGAAACAGAAAAATTTTAAAAACAGAAGCAGAAAAAAAAAACAGAAAAACTTTAAAAAAACAGAAAAATTAAAAAAAAACTGGAAAATTTAAAAAGCAGAAAAAACAGAAGAATTGTAAATAAACAGAATAATTTAAAAATACAGAAAAATAAAAAAAAAACAGAAAATAAACAAACAGAAAAATAAAACACAAAAAATAAAAAAAATAGAAATAGAAGAAATGAAAATAAACGAACATAAAAATAAAAAATGAAAAATTCAGAAAGATAAAAACGCAGAAAAATAAAAAAAAAACAGAAAAATAAAAAACAAAAAAAAAGGGAAAATAAACGAACACAAAAATGAAAAATTCAGAAAAATAAAAACACAGAATAAAAGAAATAAAGATATAAAACAAGATAAACAAACAGAAACATAAAAAATGAAAAATTCAGAAAGCTAAAAATAAAAAAACAAAAAATAAAAAAACAGAAAAAACAAAAAAAAAATAAATAAAAAAACAGAAAAATAAAAAAAAATAAATAAAAAAATTGCGTATAAAGAAAAGTGCCAGTGGCAGTTTTTGAAGAATTGAAATTAGTTAGTGTCGCCTAATAGAGGAGGGGGTTGAGAAATTAAAGTAAATAAATAGGAGACAAAATAAAACGATTACCTTACATCATCTATCTATTGTTTGTTAATTAGCTTAATTTTGGAACAACACTATAAGTATGAGCAACCCAGTGATGGTCGAACTCACTACTCACTAGGAATTGGGAACTAGACAATATTTTTAACCATTAAGCAAAATTGAGGCTCCCATATCTATCTATCTATTTATCTATGTCTTTTCATTATTTATCTGTTTATCTAAATCGCTCTCTATGTGTCTTTCTTTCTTTCTTTCTTTCTTTCTATCTATCTATCTATATTCATATCTGTCTATCGTTATTTACTAAGCTTACTTTTGGCGCAACGCCATAGATATAAGCCTC